GGGGGCAGTGGTCAGGGATCGGGCATCACCATACGCTAAAAACTAATAAAATTGCTTCTCTGAGTCCCTTTCCTCATCGCGGGGACTCAATACCTGACACCAACCAAGTCAAGGAGAGGTTATTCTGGTTCATGTTTTTTAGAGGCTTTGCTCGTGTTTAGCAGGCTCAAACATCAAAATTGTCTGGCAGAAGGGCCTGGATGGAGGAAAGCTGCTCAGGTCACAGAGGCTCAGGAAGCAGAGAGTAAACAGAGGGAAGGAGGAAGGGAGTCACCGGGAGGGAACTATACAGTACCCCTCCAGGTCACTTGCCCCAGCCTGCCTCCTGCCTCCCAACAGCAAGTCAGCCCCCACAACTCAATCCCCTTCCACAAGCCCCGCTATCCAGATGTAAACCACAATACTATTAAAAGAAGGGGGAGGATAAATAAACCAAAATACTGCTAAATTCAAAGGATGTTGATTAGTGCTAACCTCTACGCTCTGCCCTGTTTTATTAATTAACTCATTCCATTAATCCTTCCAGTGTGTCCCATCTCAAAGACCACTAAACTTCTGCTGCCTTTCTCCTGCACCAATAGAAGAAACAGCATCTGGACTGGATGTGCAGCCCCAGAGTGGAGAAGTCCTTTAAAAACATGGGGCTGGGGTACAGCTCAGGAGTAAAGCACATGCTAACCATTCAAGGCCCTGCGTTTGATCTCAGCACTGGGGGCCACGAGTGGAGAAGGAAAGGAAGAAGGAAACTCACAAAATTGCTCACTGACTTCCCTGCTCAAAACCCAGACAAAGAGATGTAAAAAGAATGAAGATGTGTTATGTGCACTCACCAACTCCCCACAATGAATGGAATCATTGTGTACTGCATGTACTAATAAAAATTTAAAATAAAATTTTAAAACCAGACAAGTCTTCCCTGATTCCCAGCCTCCTTCCCAAGAACTACTCTTTATCCTTTCCACTGAATAATTATTGTTTAGTCTCTTTGTTTTATTACTCAGTGGTTCATTCAATAGAATGTGAACTCTGAGAAGACAGGAATCATGCTCTTTTATCCATCAGTAATTACCTAGGAGCTAGATATAGTACCTAAAAGGTGCTCAATTAACTGAATTAATGAATAAACTATGTGGATGCACACCAACAGAATAATGGTCAAATTGCCAATGATAGCATTGCAAGTGGACTTAAACTAATATGATCATACACAGCTCATTGGTTCTCAGAAGCTACCAAAAAGTTTGAGATCAGGAGAAAGATAGCAACTGCCCTTTAATTTTATGTAAAATGAAAGATATAATCTACACTCTTTCTTTCAAAAAATTTTGAGATCCACGATGGTAGAATATATCAATACTTCATTTTTTTATTGCTGAGCAGTATTCTGTTATGCATACACTACAATTTATTTATCCACACATTAGATAAATATCTGGCTGTTTCCTGTTTCACTATTACAATAAAGCTGGACCTAGTGCTAGAATGTCTGGGTCACATGACAGGTGTGTATTTAACTTTGTAAGAGAATACTAGGTTTTTAAAAAGTGAATATATAAGATAGGTATAGTGAAACACACACGTAGAATGCCAACTATGCAGGAGGCTGAGGGAGGAGGATTGCAGGTTTAAGACCAGCTTAGGTGACTTAGCAAGATCCCATCTCAAAATAAAGAGATAGGGTACAGCTCAGTGGTAGGGTCCTTAGCTGCCATAGTGAGACACTGGGTTCACTCCTCAGCAAAGCCAAAAAAAGTGGTTGTATGTATGATTTTATACTCCTGCCAACAATATAAACAAAGAGTTTCAGTTTTTATGCCTACTGACAACACTTCATATTGTCAGTTTTTTAAAATTGAAGACACCCTAAAAGTATGAAGAAATATTTCATTGTGGATTTAATGTGCATTTCCCTAATAACGATCTTGAATATCTTTTCAAATACAGTACTTATTGGCCACTCATCTACCTATTTGGGGCAACATTTTAAAGCATTTGTTTCAATAATGAAGGAGGCTCTTGCTCAATATACAACTAGACAAACAATACAGAAAGGTATAAAGAACAGTTCATAGTCCACCCAACTCGTCCCCACCCACAACACACATGTAATCAGAGGTGAGGAAGAGTCACCAGGGGCACCACTTACTAAGTTGCAAATTATCACCCCCACTCTTGAAGATTCTGATTCAGTGGTTTGGGTGGGGCATTGTATCACCTCCCTGTGATTCTGATGCAATAGTGCTAGACATAATTTCTTGAGAAATTCTGCTCTTAATCTTGTCCTATAAGGAATGAAGGGGTGAGTGTGGAAGGGGAAACACACAGAGGGGTGCACAGGTGGCTTTAAATAAGGAACAGCCTCTGCCTGAAATAGGATGATGTCTCTGTACTGACCTATAGAGCACCTACGGTCAAATTAGGAAAAAAAAATCCCAGTTTTTGTTTTGTTTTTTTGAGACGGGGTCTCGCCTTGTGGTTCAGGCTAGCCTTGAACTCACTCTGTACACCCAGGCTAGCCTCGAACTCACAGCCATATACCTGCTTCAGCCTCCTGAGTGCTGGGCTTACAGGTGTATGCCACCACACCCAGCCAAAAATTCTAATTTTTAAGAAATTACTATGAAACAAAATCAGACCACAGAGCCAGGAAGGGAGGAACATGCCAAAGTCACCATGTTGACAAGGAAAGAGTCTTCTGGATTGAGAAATGACAGTTTGGGAGGGAGGTGGAAGGGTAAGAAATAATACACACACACACACACACACACACAGGCACACACACACATGCGTACATTCTATCTCTCCATGGGCAACATCTTCCCTTTATAAACACATGGAGAGGAATGTAACCTACCAGACAGGTGGGACACGTCTTAACTCAAATTAAACAGCAGCTCTTTGCCCTTAGCCTAGTTCCTTGGCTCTTTTTGAAAGGCCTAAAAAGGTGGAGAAAGAAGACAACCCAGTGCTTTTTAAGAGCAATTCTTGGGGCCGGGGATTTAGCTCAGTGGTTCTGTTGCCTGCCTCGAAAGCGCAAGGACCCAAGTTTAATCCCTGGTACCAAAAATAAAAGGCAATTCTTTTCATAGATAAATGGATCTAACCAGGCCCTGTCCTCACAGTTTAGCTCCACAGATTTAAAGTTTCTAAGCCTAACAAGAAACAAGCAACAGTCTTTGGACAATAAGCTTGACAAATGCCATTCTGTTTCTGTGACAGCCCTTAAAGGCTCTCCCCCTCCTCATTAGTTAAATAAAAAGCCATTGATTTGATCTACAGCAGAATCAACCAAGACAGTGTTTACCACGGTCAGCTGCTGATCCAAGCAGGATGTGAGCCAGCTGTTGGCAGCTCCTCTACTGTGGCAGAAACACAGCAAAGCTCCATTACTGGGCAAGACTGGGTGTTGCTCAGGTCCCGGTTTATGCCCTTTCCTCCCTTTAAAAACAAACCATGTTAAAGGAAAAAATGGAAACAAAGTCTTTGTAAATAGGGAGGGGTGGAGGGGGTGAAGGGAGGGCAGGGAAAGGGGAAAAAATAAGGACCAGGATATATCATGTACAGGTACAAGATCCCAATGATGAATGTAACTGTATTGTATACCTAAAATGTACCAATAAACTTAATGAAAAAAAACTTTAAAGCCATATTGTGCAAGGTTGATGTAGGACCCAAGTGAGCTAGGCCCACCTGTAGCCTCAGCCACGGAGAGGCAGAGGTGGGAGGATCACAGGAGCCTAGGAATGGAAGACCAGCCTGGGCAACAATGAGTCTCTCTCTCTCTCTCTCTCTCTCTCTCTCTCTCTCTCTCTCTCACACACACACACACACACACACACACACACACACACACACACAGAGTAAAACAGTAAAACAGTAACAGTTCTTCTTAGAGTATTTTGTAGCTTCTACTTTTAGCACTTGACCTTGGGTCGAACACTGAGTCCAGTACAGTGCTTCACCGCAGCCTTGTTTAGGGTCTCATCACTAGGATAATGTTGCATAGTAGGGCTGCAGTCATAGCAAGATTGGCTTTATATTTTCATATCTATGATTTTTAGATTTTCATTTTATTTTATTCTGTATACAGCCCAATTTCTCCCCTTTCCTAACTGGCACCGCTGTGACCATTTGGGTAGTGTCTCAGCTCCTCTACCGTGCATCTACACGCCCGGCACCGGGACTTAAATTCATTCTTAAGTCTAACAAGAAGCAAGAGGACAAAGCAGACCACCTCATCTCCAGCTTTTAAATAAAAGTGGGCCTTGAAGAGATTAAAGCGAGTGCCCAGACCGCACAGGTAGCAGCTCGCAGCAGCCAGCCCTCGACCGGCCGCCCTTCTTTAAAGGAGCAAACAAGGTGCCCCGGATTCCGGCCGCCCCTGGAACTGTGCGCCGGGTCTGTGCTCCCTCTGTGAGGTGCGGACACCTGCTTCTACGGGGTCAGCGACCCGCAGAAGGCCGGGGGCAGGGCCTGAGCTTCAGTCATCTTCTCTCCCCTCTCGGCTTCTGGCAGGCAGGGGCCGCATGTTCTAGATCCGGTCCAACTTTGGGCTCTACTTTTCCGAGGGCCCCTGGCCCCTGACCCACCCCACAGGTCGCAGATTTCTATCCTCCTTCCCTTGTCCTTGACTCTCTAGTCATAATTACTTTCTTGACAAGGATTCTTATCATTGTATTTTTCCATTGTTTCAATGTATGGATTCTTACTAAAAGCCGCCTCACATCCTACACAGCAGCAGAGGAGCTAAAAAGACACAAACAACTGTTATTTTGTTCTGCCCCAGCTCACCTCCCTGGGCCTCAGTTTCCCACCTGTAAACAGGATCGGAAGGACCGCACTGATTGAGTGGCTTGCTCTGCTGTCAGACTCAAGATCCAAGTTAGGTGGGCGCGACCTGGGACCTGGGGGCGGGCGCTCCCTGGCTCTGGCCCCCCTCCTGAACCCCAGCTATTTCCCTCACCCTCCCGGGCCCCTCCTGCCGCCCGGCTGGGACTCACCGCGCACGCGCAAGGTGCCAGTGCCGCTGGCTCCCGCCGAGCTCGGCAGCCAGGTGACAGCGCTGACCCGGCGCCTTTGGCTCTGCCCACGCCGCTGCGTGCGTGAGTGCGTGAGCGGCGAGGGGCGGCTGGCCTGCTGCCTTTGTTACTTATCTTTCGGGAGCCGAGCTGTTTTCCGCTCCCGGCTCCTAGAGTCCGCCCAGGCCCCTGAGGGCCCGGCCGTCCCAGCTACAGCCGCGCCCTGGCCGGCTGCCCGCGCGGGCGGGGTTCAGCGCCGCGCCCCGGACTCGCCCACCAGCGGCTGCTCCTGGGGGCGCCCTCTGCTCGCCCGGGCTAGTCACCCCGAAAACAGGGGCCCGCGCTGAGGCCACCTGGTGGGAACGCGGATCCTAGCGTCACTGGATTTCTGTGCATCTGGGTTAGTCCGTAGAAGAAAAATGCAAGGGAAGCTGAGAGCCTTTTAAAGATTAAACTTAACCTGAATGGCCATGGAGGTTACCAGGATGGGAAAAGTTATAGGGAGAAAGAACGTTACAATTCAGTATGTAAGGAGGAACGTTTGTAACTGGGTACTTAAAGATGCCATCAGCCTGGAGAGGATGTGTATCCTGGCATTAGAAGGGATCCTTCAGGCGGAGATGGTTACTGGGATGCTGTAGATAAAGAGGCCAGATGTCAGGTTTACAGAAGAAAGCACAGCACGGGAAGGATGCTTCTCTGGACTGAGGCAGTGTCGCTTGCCCTGCCACCGGGACTCTGGCCTGGAGAGCGGAGTACCTTAGCTGACCCCACTGCCACTGAACCAGATACTGAGTGTAATTCACTACAATTGATTAACTTTACACATTGCTCGCGTTTCTTCTCACCCCTCTCCAGGGTCACAATCTAAGACAGGTCAGCCATGCTTGGGTCCCAAGCAGTCAACAGTCAGGGAGAACTGATAGCAGGGCATTTTGGCATTCATGGATGAGATTCAGAATGCTTCTTCACACAGGGGTTTGTTTCCAGATGTGCAAAGGCTTTGGAAGTTGGGCAGTCAGGATAACAGGCATATGTCCACTGTGCAATCATCTTCTAATAATTTGTAGGCCAAAAGCTGAAAAAGTGAAAGAATATAATCTGTGTAGTCTACATACCACAGCAAATGAGCTGTACTGTCAAAACCTGAAGAGGTGGCTGTTACTTGTCACTCAACCTTTTAAATGTTAGCTAATTTGCTCTAGGTGCAGCTCAGTGGTAGAGTGCAAGTACAAAACGTCCTGGGTTCAAGACTCAGCACACACACAAAAATTCAGCTAATGAGAGAACTTCTTTACAGTCCAGATACTTTCCACCCACGCCTTTCCTTTTCTTTCTCATTGGAGTCATTTGCAATTACAGAATTAAGCAGAGGGAAGGATGAGAAAAAAGGTAAGTTATGGCAGATGTGTGCTTAGCGTCCCAATTGGTGCATTACCATGAGTAAATACAATTTATTTTTCTGATAAATTTTCTTTAAACTGGTCTACTTCTTTGAAAGCCTCAGTCTCGGGTCCATTTCTATCTTTTTGTTCAACTTGGTGAACTTTACCACTCTAATTTCTACAGTAATAATAAATAAAAGATATTGAGTGCCTAATACATGTCAGTAGTGTTTTATAGATTTTTCCAACTACTCTATATGATAGGTATTATTTGTGCCTCATAGATGAAGAAACTGAGGCTCAGAGAGATTAAGTAATTTGTCCACAATTACATGGCTCACAGGGATTGGAAACCAAGTTTATTTTTTTTATTAATGTATAACTTTATTATCGTTCACTAAACACACACATATACAAAAATTAAAATTATTCAAAGAAAAGCAATGCAAGGGAAAAAACTGTAATAATATTCAAATATAATAGAACTGAACCAAAGCAAAACTGAAAAGTACTTAAACATTTTTCCATATAATTTTTTTAAAATCTCAAGCATTAACAAGACATCAGAAGATGTGATTTGTTTTAGAAAGATTTTCAAAACTAATATTGAGCAAATAGTGGTCTGGAGAAAAAATTCTAATTAGCTAGTAGACTCCACATAGGCCAAATTTTTTAAATTTAAATTTCAATACAGTCATGTGACACGTGATGGAAATATAATCTGATAAATGTGTTATTAAGCAATTTCATCCGTGTGTATTGCAAAGTACCACACAGAGTGCCAACTTCTAAGTGCAAACTGAAAATGTATATGCCAATCATCCATGATGGCCACTTGATATTATCCAAATACACAGTTAAACAGAGATACATGAGGCTACCACTGGCATAGGAGCACACTGTTTTACAGTAAACTCTTTTTTTTTTTTTTTAGAAATTATGCCGTTTTATAATTTTCTCTGCTGCTTCTTAATCCATTCAAATTAATTTCACAATTCATCACTTTTAGGCAGCTTCTTCATTTTCTTCAGTTTCTACTTTAGGCAATAATGGATCAGTCTTTAATAGTAAACCTTCACTTGTTGAACTACGAAGGAAAGCACGTACCGCAAAGGGACCCAGATTCAATGGTCTGTGCCTGCAGACTTCATTAATAACTGTCTGGAGATTAGCAGCTATCTGGTTACTTGACATATCCAATGTTACTATTTTGGTGGTAAGAAAGTTCTCCCATTCTTCATCTACCTTAATTTCATGTCCATTTTTAAATAACGCAAGCATTTAAGGAATGTCATGGCCAATGGAATTTCTACTGAGCTTTGGAAATTTTTTTTTCAGTTTCTTCTTTAATGGATTAAGGTCAGGCATTATTTCTGGAACAGCTACATAAAAGTCTGCATGAATTTCAGCATCTAAAATCTTCTGAATCAGATCAGCTCCTCCTGTAAATGCAGCTCCTTGTCCTTCTGCTATTTCAATCTCTGATGCATTCCCCGTTAATACAGCAGCTTTATTGACTTCTGAAGAAAATGGATATGGAAAACTAATAATGCTGGCAAATGGTTCCACTCTTTTCTTTTTCCCCAGTGCCATATCCAGTGTCAAATTAAGAAAAACCCTTTGTTTTGGATTAGTAAAGTCCAAAATTTGAAACTTCTTAAGTAAGTGAATAGCTTTCTCCACCTCATAAATCTGCCTTGGATATAAGTGCTTTAAATAGACATCATCCTCAGGTTCACCTTCCATAACTGGGTATGACTTTATTTTTTCTTTCTCATCTATCTTTTCATCTGATGTTTTTTCTTTGGCACCTTTTTTGGCTTTCTTTGCAGGCTTTGTAGCAGCAGCAGCAAAATGTCTGATAGGCACCTGAATGTTTACAGAACAAGGATAAAGAGATGTCTGATGAATCATCCTGGAAAAGCTATGCCTTTGGTTATGTGTCAAGGCCCTGCCGAGGCATCTCATGGCCGCCACCATGTTAACCATTCTGGATTGTGTTCTACAGTAAACTCTCTTATATAAGTAGGATTATGCTCTAAAGGATGAAAAGTCAATTGTATCTGTAGGCAACAGGGATTCATTGAGGAACGGGGACAGCATAACACTAAACTTTAGAAAGATCGTCTGTCTACAGAGTGCAAACTGGATTCCAGAAAGCTATAAGGGTAAGCCTGAGGCACCAGGTAGGATGCTGTGGTATTCAGCCAAGGGAGAGATAGTAAGGCCTTAAGTTAAGGCTGTGGTAATACAGGTTGAACTTGCCTTATTCAAAATATTTGGAACCACAAAGTGTTTTAGATTTCTGATTTTTTAAAAGATTTTGGAATATTTGCATATATATAATAAGATAACTTGAAGATAAGCCACAAATCTAAGTACGAAATTCATTTATTTTTCATATATACTTTATACACATGGCCTGAAGGTTGTTTTTACAGTACCATTAATGAACCTGCATTTTGACTGTGACTTGTCACATGAGGTCCTGTGGAATTTTCCACTGTGGTGTCATGGTAAAGGAGTCAGATACAACTGTGAGGAAGACCCAGGCTTTTATAAACTTTCTAATAAACAATCTCCTTCAACTGTTGTGGGGTTTTTTGTAATTAATTTTATTGGTACATTTTAGATATACAATATAATGACATTCATCAGTGGAAATTTGCATCTTTACATAATCTCTCTTGGTTCTTATTTTTCCTCCTTCCCCTGCCCTCCCTTCAACCCCTCCATCCCTCCCTATTT